CGTCGATTGGGGCATCGGGTTCGCCTTCTCCTGGCGTTGTGCGTTCACTGCCATTCAGCAGGCTGGAGAAGTGTTCCCTCCATAATTTAAGTATGGTCTGAGCATCGATGACTAAGCACTCCTCGTCGTACCAGCTGTTCTTTTGTACTTTCCGAAAACCAATGGTTTCGGTTGCGGCTGTACGTAAAGAGTTTGAAATGCCTTCCCACAGTTCCCTTATACCGAGTTGTTGACGAGTGCTCTCAGAGAGCAGGAGTGCAAGCCGAGCAGGAAATCGTTCGGCTGTCTGTTGTGATTGCAGATTCTCGACGTCGAACCTTCCTTGTGTTTGATGGCGTGCGTTTTTTGCTGCACAGAGGCGGTACGAATCTGGGCTGCAACAAGAAAGTGGTCCTAGTGGATGTTAGGACCTCGGAGCACACGCACATTAAAACACTGAAGACGTGTCTTCTGTTTATCACAACATGATCGATCTGGTTGGTAGTTTTTCGATCCGGACTAGCCAGATGGTTTGATGAATTTCCTTAGGCTGGAATCTAGTACTACAGATAACCATATTTTGGGGCCCGGCGAAGTCGATCAGCCTCGATTCGTTTGGAGATGTCTCGTTATGGAGGCTGAATTTACCAACCCTAGTGCCAAAGATACCTTCTAGACGTTCATCCACCGGGGTGAATGTCAGAACTCAATGCAATGTTGAGGAGGCTTATTCCACGGTAGTTGGCGCATATTGTGGGGTCTCCTTTTTTATGGATTGGGCATAGCACACTTAAATTCCAATCTTTGGGCATGCTTTCGTCCGACCATATTTTRCARAGAAGCTGATGTATGCTCCTTATCAGTTCTTCGCCGCCGTGATTGAATAGCTCGGCCGGCAATTCATCGGCCCCCGCTGCTTTGTTCTTCAGGCGGGTAGTTTTTATTCGAACTTCTTCCTGGTCGGGCAATGGAACGTCTGCTCCATCGCCATCGATTCGGGAAACAGGTTTGCCTTCTCCTGACGTTGCGCGTTTACTGCCATTCGGCAAGCTGGAGAAGTGTTCCCTCCATAATTTAAGTATGCTCTGGGCATCCGTGACTAGATCACCTTTAGGGGTTCTACAAGAGTATGCTCCTATACTTTCTGTAAGCCGCCGCATTTTTTCGTAGAATTTTCGAGCATTACCCCTGTCGGCCAGCTTATCGAGCTCTTCGTACTCACGCATTTCATTACACACACACATTTCATCACATTTAAATGTGTAGTTGTATTGAAATATTTGAGAAAAATGGTTAGCTTTGGCTGGCAGGGCATTTATACTGAATAATACTTTTCTGTTGTAGTATCAGTGTTTATTAATTTTGGGAGCTATAATTTTGAAATCCATGCAACAAGTGATGCCAGGGATATCCTCTTTAGAAGGAAACGTTATCGACAGCTTGCAGATATTTGACTCGAATACGTCCAACACTTCAGGAAGGATTTCACTAAAGCTGGATTGTGGTAAGCCAACATCCATTTGCCCGCCCACACCTTTCTGATACGCTCCTTCTCCACAAAATGTCAAACAAGCTGATAGTTTTACAACTGTATCAATTGCAAAACGTTGTTTCGCCATTGGCAAGCCATTTTGTAATATTTCCAATAAGAATTGAAATATAGGCTTGTTACAAGTGTACAACATCTGTGACAGGTTGCCGAAGTTCACAATATTCTATCGACACATCGAAATTCGAACACAAATCTTCGTTTACGGTAAATTCGTGACGAATTCTTCGTTCGCGTGTAAATAAAAATACACGGGAAAGATTTATTCACACGAAGTTCCCGATAAGGCCGATATACAAATGATACAAATAAAATTTTTGTAAATTTTTTTATGTTATTAAAATAATTATTTAAAATTATTAATTAAAAGTTCATTAAATTTTAATATCAAAATACAAAATACTTTAAATTATAAAAATAAAATAAGCCTGATAATTTTAAATAACGTAAAGATTTATAGAGTCTTCTCGTCTTTTAATTACATTTTAGTAAATTTAAAATTGTTGTAAATTATTAGACACTTGTGTCAGAAGTGGGATGCAAATCCCTTCGCGTGTGCAAGAAAGTGGCATATATAAGTGTCGTGGAAGAAGTACCGGGTAATTTGAACTTTGTGAACTGTAAAGAAATTGTTCGACGTGGAGCGATCTTGGTTTTTTTTTCCCAAAAAACAGAACGTTCGAGAAATTGGTAGAAGTCTCGGGTAATTTAGACTTCATGTAAAGTGACCGGTGTCGCATATAAGAGCGCACAAAGAACGTTCTAAAATTTTGTAAAAGGGTACAGTGTCGGGTACTCTTACCTTGGCGTGGCGTGACCGGTGTCTCCGTTATGGGCACTGTTAACTCAAGCCGTTGTGACGTCGATTCGGCGTTATTAAACGCAGTCGAGAGTGAGCAGCATCTGAATGATTTTGCGGTAGCAAAGAGTGAGCAGCGGTCCAGATTTTGCGGTAGCAGAAAGTGAGCAGCGGAGCAGAGCAGTTCAGCGAATGTACGTATAGAGTAAGCATATAACAAGATGTGTTACACACTAACTAGTGAGAATCTATTGGCAAAGTTGTCGATAACCTATAAGAAAATTCTTAAAAAAAATTGAAAATATGTAATGGATCCCATATTCTAAAATTGGTATTATTATTATAGAAAAAAAAATACTAAAAATTGTAAATCAAATTGTAAGTTAATTCAAGTGAACTTTGAATTAAGCAAAATTGAACTAAGTTGACAAAAAGATAAATTGTGAAAATTAATTGTCTTAGATTTAAATTTAAATTACAAGAATTAACTCTGTATTCAAATTGCTATATGAAAGCAAAACTTGTCAACATCTATTTTAACGTTTACTTTTACTTATTATATACTAAATACCAAATTTTAATTTTTTTAAACATTTTTTTATTGACAGTGAACGGTTTGAAGGAAAAATTGTTGGCACTAGGTTTATCGGCAAATGACCGTAAAGCCACATTACAGGACAGACTTTGTGAGCATTTTGGACTGACTGTAGATGCTGAAGAGGATAGCTCAAACAGTGAAACTAGTTCAGTGCAAACAACATGTTGCCTCCGGTCTTCACTCTGCGCGATCTCGAGGAATCTCTTTAAACTTTTAGTGGTACGGGGCAACACCCAATCGAGGAGTGGCTCGATGATTCTGAATCTAATGCCATGGACATAACTAGTTGCAGTGCATTTAAGTAATGTTTTCAAAAAGAATTTGGAGTAGTAACATCTTCAAACGAGGTCCATAGGGCACTTATTAAACGGCGAAAGCACCCAAATTAAGATTATCGCGAGTATCTTTATAGCCTTATGGACATAGGTAGGCCAATAAAGCTAGACGAAAAAAGTCTCATCGAATATTTTGTAGAGGGAATCCCAGATACCAGACCAAACAAAGTTAACCTGTATCAGGCTAGTTCGATAGAAGAATTAAAAGCTCAGATCCTTGTTTATGAAAACGTTCGCTCGGGGCGTCAACCCAATGTGAGTACATTTCAAAACAAACGTGAAGACAATAATTCTGTTACTACAGATCAGGGATCCAATACGAAAATTTATTATAGGTGTGGAGAAGCGGGTCATTTGGCGAATTCTTGCAAACAGCAACGACTGTTAAAGTGTTTTGGGTGTAATCAGCCAGGACATCGTATTGCAGAGTGGCCAAAGAAGAGAACGGAGGTAAAAAGCGAGGGTGCAATGGTAAATACGCTTGAAATATTGCGTATGGCATCCCTTGGCAGCGTAGTTTTCAAAAAAGTTAACCATTAACGGGCTTATGTTGTCAGCATTGCTGGACACTGGTTGCGATATATGCCTCATGCGTTACGATGTGTTAATGAAATTGGGGAAGATTGATTTGCCCAATGATATAAATCATCTTCGTGAAATAGGAAACAATATATGTATGTTCTTACAACTATGGGAACTTTCGTAATCAAAGTTAGCTTAGATGGAGTCAAAGTTGATATCAATTTCCATGTAGTGCGTGAGAGTGACCTTACAAAAATCGGGAACAGTGTATTATAAAGGAAGGCGGGGTAGAATTTAGAGCAAAAGTGAAGAAAACGAAGCTTCAAAACCCCATAGTAGAGAAAAGTGAAGGAAAAATAGAAGTTCTTAATGAGTTTGAGGATCTGTGCATGGTCACGTCTGTGTTGTGACTACCGACGTTTGAACGAAAAAATCATGAGGGATAATTTCTAATGCAACTCATATATGACGTTTTCGAGAGATTACAAGGCGTAAAAGTATTTACAATGTTAGATTTACGGAATGGATTTTTCCATGTGCCAATAGGTCAGGTTCGTCATCAAGGTCAATACGAATTCATTTATATTCCTTTCGGTATTTCCAATTCCCCAGCAGTGTTCACTCGATACATTTTCGCGGTGTTTCAAGATTTTGTGAAGGATGGCGTCGTGGTAACTTACATGGATGATCTTATAATTCCTTCTATTAATTAGGACGAGGGGGTACATAAGTTGAAAGCTGTGTTGAACATGGCGGCATGTTATAACATAAGGATTAAGTGGGAGAAATGCCAGACGACTGTTGATTTTCTGGGGTATATTATAGAGTGTGGTACCATCAGAAGAAAAAACGCAGGCAGTAAGGAATTTTCCGACACCAATGGATAAAAGCGGTGCAAAGATTCTTAGGGCTTCTTATTTTCGCCGTTTCATAGAAGGATATGCAGTAGTCCCTAAACCACTGTCTGGCCTGTTGCGTAAGGATGTAGTTTTTGTGTTTGGTACCGCACTGCAAGCCTCGCTGAAGTAACTAAAGGCAGCTCTGGCTAGTGCACCAGTATTACAGTTGTACAATCCGAAGGCTCTAACTGAAGTTTATACGGATGCCTCAATACATGGATATGGTGGTGTACTCTTACAAAAGGACAGCGAAGATTTGCACTTTCAACCAATCCAGTACATGAGTCGGAAGACAAAGCCAGCAGAAGAGAAGTACCATTCGTATGAGTTAGAGGTGTTAGCGATTGTTGAAGCACTTAAGAAGTCTTTTAGGGTTGCATCGTTACTGATTGCAACGCGTTCGCAATGACCATGAAAAAGAGGGATATTCCGCTAAGAGTATCTCGGAAGATGTTGCTATTACAAGACTTTGACTATGAAATAGAACACCGGAATGGCTCCAAGATGCGTCACGTCGATGCGTTAAGCAGAATAGCGTGTCTTATGTCTTAGCAACAGGATGAATGCCGCTGTTTTCGGTAACCCACGGCGTATTATAATGGATAGAGATGCTGCGTTCACGGGAAATCTCTTTAAAGATTGCTGTGCGAGTGAAGATCTCGAGCATTTTGTAATAGCTACAGGTTATTTGTATTAGCTACAGGCGTACGCATGCAATTCTAAACATACACCTTGAATGAACGGACTCAACGAAAGCAAAGAACGCCGGCAGCGACGGTTAAAAAGACGGGGACTTGATTTTAAAAATTCACAGCATACGGACGTGCGCTCCAAAGAACATTTAATAAATTAACTTTTTATATATTATATTATCACTCAGTGATTAATCCTACGTTGTTTACGGTTTTGATAAATAAATCATTTTATACATTTTAAAAGACAAAAAAGCGTTTAATTTAAAGAAAGTAACCCACGTGTACATATGTTAAGAAAGTAACTAAAAATTTGGCCTAGGCAATTGCCTAAATGGACGGGAGGCCGGCCTTTTATAATGCACACTAAATTTATAGTTTCGTTTAACCATTGATACACCAACACTATTTTGAGCATATAAAACATTGATTTTCTATTCACTGCTCACTGTGGGCACAAAATAGCAAGACACTTTAATTTAAATTTTTCGTGAAAACACATTCGTAGAAATATTTTTTCTGCATTGGTGTAACTGTCATTGACGTCTGTCCTAAGCCTCACATCAAAATAATCATCGTTAGGTTTTTTACGATGACTGAAATTATTCAACCATGGTCGTCATCAAAAGTGGGGTCTCTCATCTGAGGCTGTTGTTGCGTTGTCATTGGGGTGGTTTTTTTACGCGGCGGGTCCCAAACCCAGCGCACAACCCTATGCAGGGAATGTTTCGCCTTCTGTTCTTAGGCTACCCAGAGGATACTTGGTCAAGGACCGGAAGTCGTGAGCTGCTTGAGTCATATGTAAAAGAATCGTTTCTGGCCACTCCCAAGTGAATGGCGATCAGAAAACTTTCCTCACTTGCGTGAACTTCTACACATGACTCCATCCTTCAAAGATTTATGGTCCTTTTCGCTTTGGCCACGGCGAATATCGCATTCGATGGAACGATGAGCTGTACGAGATATACGACGACATTGACATAGTACAGCGAATTAAAACACAGCGGCTACGCTGGCTAGGTCATGTTGTCCGGATGGAGGAAAACACTCCAGAAAGTATTCGACGCAGTACCCGCCGGGGGAAGCAGAGGAAGAGGAAGACCTCCACTCCGTTAGAAGGACCAAGTGCAGAAGGACCTTGCTTCACTTGGAATATCTAATTGGCGCCACGTAGCGAAAAGAAGAAACGACTGGCGCGCTGTTGTTAACTCGGCTATAATCGCGTAAGCGGTGTCTACGCCAATCAAGAGAAGAAGAAATTATTCAACAAAGAAGGTCCATTGGATTTTGTGTGCGGAATCAAATTTCTGGAGCGGAAACGTTCAGAATGTTGGAAATGGCCTTCCTTGTTTTTTGCGAGGAAGTGTGTTTTTGACGGGTATTAATTACATATAGACAGTCGAGAACGTGTTGATGAGGAATCATGTCCAGGACGGCAATCAACATCAACTAATGATAAACAAGTCAATAAAATAAAATAAAAAAATGTTTCGATCCTCAATACGATTAACAGTGAGAGATTTCAGCATCGTTGGAATATCGGAAGATTCAGTGAAAACCATTATGAAAGATCATTTGGATATAAAAAAAAATGAAAGTACGATTGGTTACAAAATCACTAAATTTTTCGAAAAACAGAGTCGCATTAATGCCTGTAAAACATCTATGCTTACGACCCAGAAACAGATGGATCGGCCGAATATCGTGGAAAAGGTGAGTCGTAGCCGCAAAAGCCATGCCAAAGCAGGTCAAAAATCAAGGTTACGTTGACAGTTTTCTTCGACTACCGAAGTGTGGTGCACTCCGAATTCCTTTCGACCGGCCACACTGTCAAAAATGGATACTACTTCGCTGTTATGCGTCGTTTTCGCAAGGCTATTCGTAAAAGGACGTAAAACTCAACGACTGCTCCGGGGAAACCGTTTCGAGTCTATTGAAGACATTAAACTACATAGATTTTGAAGAATCGTTACTGAATAACAAATCTAAATTTATAAACAAAGGCTTATAACTTTTTGCTCATAGTAGTTGTATATATATATGTATATACTGGAGGCAACTCCAGGAAATTACCATTTTTAGTACATTTTATATTTCTGTCCATATTTTATATTATTCCAGCAAACTTGCCTCATTTGATGGGAAAAAAGCTATACGTGGCGGCATACCTTTCGTGTTTCGTAAGTTATTATTGCTACCGTATTTGTTTAATATAGAAATTATATGCATATCTTTTCTGAACAAAATTTTATAAAATTTCAATTAAATAAATTTATTAGAAAACTAATAAGTATAGCGTTTAAGCACTTACAAAGTAATTATTTTCTTATGTGCCCACAATTTTTCAAATTGCTTAGCGTACCATGCCTCCTTGTTTCCAGTCTAAAGTTCTTTCACATTTTTTAATTTTTTTTTGGCAATATGCATTTTAACGTCGTTTCATACATCGTGTTTGCATCGGGACTTTGAGCTGGCCAGCTCCGGCCGTCAATACTTTCTACAGTGAGCAGTTCTTCACACTTTTTGCGTTTCGATTCGAACGCGAATGATTTCATGGTATTTTTGTGAATGTTTATGTATGCAAATTGATCCATTCTGCCATCTATCCTTACCAATGGTTAAACAACGTACCAGGAAAGCGCTCCCCATCCCTACTTCCGCCATGTTCAACAGTTTTTTTTTAGTGTATCTGGAGTTACACGCCTGACACCTGGTACGATGGACAAATTGTTTTTCATCCGATCTGATACTGTTCATCTTAGTTTCATCGCTCCACAGAACCCTTTTCCACAATTTTACGTTCTTTTCTAAATGTTTGTTCATCCGACATATGATCTTGCGATATTTTGCTACATCTCGCACACATCTTCCTCGCAGAAACCCCACATACAACATCATAASACCCAATGCAACACAATATTCCATCCACACAACCACAACCACACATCATACCAGTAACCAACCACATTGCGCACCAACAATTCGCTTTGATAGAAAAGGATTAGTCTGATCGGAATGGATCTCTTTTTCGATTTACCCGTGACCCGTGGTTTTTGCCGTCGGTACGTGCGTTAAAGTAACGTTGCTAGATAAAACTATAATTGTTCATTATTGAATGTGAAACGTAGTCATTTATTTATTTTCTTAAAATTTGCATATTGTGTTCATATTCAAAATTAAAGGTGCAAGTGAGTATATCACAATCAATAGCAAGGGGAACCAAAAAACAAAAGTTAACTAAACAAATGGTCCTTCGATCGTCATTGAAAGGCGCCTAGAAAAAAAAATAAAAGAAAAACCAAAATTACAAATATACAAAAATATGCATTTGCAAATTACTTACTTACATACTAACAATGCAATAAAATTATAATAAACGGCCGCGAAACAAACCGAAATACAACTAATACTAAAACCTAAAAGCGAGCGCCAGCTAATCAAATTAAGTAAAAACACAAAAAACTAACCAAAAAAAGGAAAAGAGAACGAGAGTGAGGAGGAATATGCATACATAAGTATCATCCCTCTGAAAAACCCCTGGGGAAATTAATGTGAGTCCAGTAAAATTGAAATTTAAGATTGAAGTATTTTATGCACGTACTTGTATGTAAATACACACGTATTATTTCTAATTTACAGACTAGTATTTCGGCGTACAGTTCTGAAAAAAGTATATATACTATATGTATATATATATTATTTATAAATACAGTAAGGCAGTTCGGAATACTATATATGTATGTATGTTACTGAAAAAATGTACCGCCCCCTCTATAGTCTTATTATTTTTCCACACACACAGTAATGTTATTCCAAAAAACAAACAAAATGATGTAAAGTCAAGTATTCCTACTTGCAAACTCTTCAGCGATCGCTTATGATATAATATTTAATCAAAATAATTACCTACGAATATTTATGAAAATAACCTTTAATTGACATTTGCGGTGCATAAGCTTTCGCAAAGTAATATAATTTATTTCATATTTTACGAAAATATATTCTTTGCACAGTTTTTCATAATATCAATTTCACAATTAAGTTCAAAGCTAAAAAATAATTAAAATGACTCGAATAAAAAATAATATACAATATAATAGACACGTTAATAGAAGAGAACCATCTGTGTAAAATCAATTAAGTCATTGGAAATCATTATGCGAAATTTGTAAAGGAGGTCATAATATAAGATCTTGAGAGAAGTTTAAAAAAATGTCTGTTTCAGATAAGAACAATCTTGTCCGACAACATGAACTTTGCATCAACTGTCTGTCCAATTCTCACGGGACAAAATACTGTGAAAGCAAATTCAATTGTGTGCACTGTTAACGAAGATATCACAAATTTTCAAAATATGAAGCAAAAACAATTTCTAAAACCACCGAGTTAGGCTCTCATAGATCATTTATATCATCAAAAATGCCAGTAAAAAATTTCAATTTTTAAATTTCAGGAATGGGCGGAAGAACTTACAAATTTCAAATAGAATTTGCCCAATCACCATAGTCTCCCCAAACGCGGATATTAGAATAGATGCAGAAGCCATCATTTTACCGCAACTCACAAATTTGCTTCCAAGTTGTTATGTAAATAAAAGCAGTGGGAATCCAGCAGAACCCAACCCCATTACAAATCGACATATTATTAGACAGTGATTTAATACTTCAAATAATCGTTGAAGGTATAGAGAAAATCTAAATACAATCTTTGGGTGGATTTTAAGTGGACGAGTCACTGAAAAAATTAATTATTTCACTACACAAGTTAAAAATATTTCTAATGAGTATATAAATGTTCAAAAATTCTGGGAAGTAGAAAAATTACCTCAAATCACACAACATTCAGAAAAAGACCAGGCATGCGAAGTCTATTACAAGTCCATAACAACAAGAAACGAAGACGGTCGTTTTGTTATGCGACTTCCATTCAAACCCACTTTCCCAGATTCTATAGTTCCAGGCCACTCTCAAGTGTCAGCAGTCCAGCAATTAATAAGCAAAGAAAAAAACCTGACGAAGATAACCGAGCTCAAATCAGCCCAAAAAATAAGATGACATTGTATTTATTTTGAAAATTCTTTATTCTTCCAAATCAATTTCATCCCCTTCAAAGTAATCCCCACTAGATGTAGTACATTATGCCAACGGATTTTCCAATCTATGAAACACTGGTTGTAGAAACTTTCCGGTATGGCCTTCAGTTCCGTCTTCGTTGCGGCTTGAATATCGCATAAAAACGGTGTCTCCGGAGCGGTCTTTTGAGCTTGGTGAACAGCCAGAAGTCGCATGGCGCCAGATCAGGTGAATACGGTGGCTGCGGAACGATATGGGTTGAGTGTTTGGCGAAATGATCATTTAATGCAAATTCTTTGCTCAACAAATTTCGACATTGCAAAAAACGAWAAACTCACTTTTAGCAGCTCACAAAACGACACGTATCTCAAAGACTAATGAATATTTTGACATGAAATTTGACATAAATGTGACTGACAGTACTACTAACCTAAAAAAAAAAAATAATTATCCAAATCCTTCGACGCGCGCAGTTTAAATTCAAATGTCACCTTATTTTTTAGGCACAAAAATGTGATGGACGAATATTTGGATCTCAATCATATGAAAGAAACGGTACCAATGAAAAAATATCTAAAAGCAGAAATTTATATTTTTATCTTCCTGATCACGGGATAATAACCAGATAAAATTATAACAAAAATACGAGTGGTTTTCAATGCCTCAAAGTGTACGAGCTCAGTCAAATCTCTCAGCGGCATACTATATACTGCGTCAACATTACAACCTGATCTCATATTACTTAAACTAAACTGGCGCATCTGCGTTACAAACACAAACATACGTTGACGATATGCTTTCCGGTATCCATAGTCTCTCACTAGCGTCCAAATCACTATCCCAAGTGGTCAAAGTACTAAATTCGGTGCGTCCAAAAAGAAAATTACATCAAATCATCCTGAGATAAGAAAAAATATAAAAAAAAAGATTTATTAAATACAGATTCCTTAAATTTAAAAAGGCCAATACAACAAAAAACATAGGGATTCAATAGAATGCGATAACAGATCAATTCTCATATACAATTGTGTCAATATCTGCAATGTCCGCCATAACCAAACTCCAAATATTTTCCTCGGTTTCAAAACTTTTCGACCCCGCAGAATGGCTTTCGCCAATAATTATTAATGCAAAATCCTCATTCAAGAATTGTAGCAAGATGGCACAGAATGGGATGATCAGGTAAAACCTGTGCGTTTAACAAAATGGATTCAATCAATTAGAATCCTTCGATAGGTATATTTCACTAACATTAATGCAGAATTATACGGTTTCTGTGATGGCTCTTGAAATTTTTCAAGATTTTTTGAGACACGAAAAGTTAATTTAAATTGGGATGCGCGATTAGAAATTAAAAACCACCAGTTGCCTGTCTCGAAAGAAGTAAAATTAAAATAGCCGACAAGTTAAAACACGTGCGTACGGTTTCAAAGTTCAACTCAAAGAGAGTTCTTTATTCGCTTAGCCTATATCTTAAACTAACGGCTTAATCTAGTCTAGTGGTAATGTAAGTATGGCTTACAAAATGGGTAAGCAATTATCTTTCGTTAAACATTATACTAGCTTATATTAAGATAAGTATTAAGGTAAGTAATAGATTAGTATTATGAATGCATTATTAAGGTAAGTATTTTATATAATAGAGTTTATTAATTTAATTTTTAATAATTCAATATTTTGCAATTCATTTGTGGGATGTCCACAATAATGTTTAATTTATTTTAATATAAAAACTGGTACAAAAATATGAAAGTGATACAAAAATTCCGAGACTGAAAATGGTGAGACGTGCTCGCAGTCGTGATGATGCGCGAAGAAAAAAGATGGTGGTTCTTCAATCTGACAGCTTACTTTTGCAGAGTTGCATTTGGGGTTGCCACATTAATTTCGGGTTGCCACATTACTTTGGGGTTGCCACATCACTTTGGGGTTGCCACATCACTCCCCCCTATGCGGGAAAACGAAAACGTACTCGACGACCAGATTTTGTTTGGTACTCTTTGTGTTGGATTGTCTGCTTCGACGGGGTTTGGTAATCCTCGGCGACGAAAGCTGACTTTAACCGGTCGATGGAAATGTTTACGTCCTTTCCTCGGATTCTGACTTTGAAAAATTTGACGCCACGTTCGACTACGGGAAATGGTCCCTCSTATGGTGGTTGAAGAGGTGGACGAATTGAGTCGTTACGCACGAAGACTGATGGTGKTGAGTGCAAGTTCTTTTCTACAAATGGTACGTGCGCTGAGTTGTTTGTAGTTGGTGACGGCTTTAGTGACTGCATGCGTATGCGTAAATTTTCGACGAACTCACCTTCGTTGGCATTGTGCGTCTGTTTTTCGGAAAAAAACTGACCAGGTAATCGAAGTGTATTTCCATAAACCATTTCTGCGGGTGTCGCTCTTAAATCGTCTCTCCATGAGGAACGAAAACYTAGCAGGATGAGTGGGAGAACTTCGACCCAGTTGTTTGTCGTGTAGCATTTTATCGCTGCTTTTAATGATCTGTGCCATCGCTCGATAATCYCGTTTGACGCGGGGTGATACGCAGTGGTACGTAAGTGCTTGATGCCTAAGAGTCTTGAAAGTTCTCTGAATAGTGTAGATTCAAATTGTCTACCTTGATCCGTAGTCACTCTACTGGGTACTCCAAATCTAGCGATCCAATGTGTGTAGAAAGTGAAAGCAATGGTCTGTGTCGTCATGTCTTCGAGCGGGAGTGCCTCTAACCATCGGGAATAACGATCGACTATTGTCAAACAGTATCGATAACCCTTGCAAGGTGGTAATGGTCCGACGATGTCCATATTTATGTGGTCAAAWCGTTGCTCTGGTAACGTGAATGTCGACAGCGGTGCTCTGTTGTTGCGCTGCACTTTAGCTCTTTGGCACGGGATGCACTGCCTGGACCATAAGCGGCAATCTTTGCGGAGATTCGGCCRCACGAATTTTTCTGCGATCAATCTTATTGTTTTAGCGGCGCCGGTGTGTGCCATGTTATGTATGGAGTCGAAAGCTGTTTTGCGAAACGAAGGAGTTAAGTATGGTCGGACTTGGTTGGTGCTTACGTCACAAAAGATGTCTACAGCGGTGCCTGGAATCRTAAAAGGTTTTATTAATAAGCTGGAATTCGAGGCTTGTAAGTTTTTGAGGTCTGAGTCCGACTTCTGACTCTCCGCAAGTTTGGCAAAGTCGATGATGCTCGGAGTGTGTATGGCGTCTATACGCGACATTGCATCAGCTACTACGTTTTCTCTTCCGGGGATGTACCGAATGTCTGTTGTAAATTGTGCGATAAATTCCGAATGACGCATTTGACGCGGAGATGCCTTTTCAACTTTTGCTGGAACATATACTGCAATGGCTTGTGGTCGGTGAGGATAAAAAACTCTCTTCCTTCTAGCATATGTTGAAAATATTTGACTGCTTTGTATGCCGCTAATAGTTCACGATCGTAAGTACTGTATCTTGCTTGTGTTTCGGTAAGGCGTCCACCGTCAAACTGAGTTGCGCTCTGGGTTTTGGGTAAGCGAGTAAAGTAGCTTTGCATAAGTCGTTTTTGCATTGTTGAAATGCCTCCTTTGCTTCAACTGTCCAATCAACTGGCGATGTGTCGTTTTTCTTGTTCCCTTTTATGAGGTTAAATAACGTCATTTGCCTTTTTGCGGCGCAAGGCAAKAATCTGCGAAAAAAGTTTACCATACCGAGAAAGCGTGGCAAATCACATGCTCTCGAAGGTAGGTTGAAATTTTGAATTGCCCGTACTCGTTCTTCTGGGGGTGGAATTCCACTGCTGTTTATTTTGAAACMTAAAAATTTAGCTTGCGGCTGCCCTAGTATGCATTTCGAACGGTTGATAACAAGGCCGTACTCGCGTAGCTTTTTAAACACTAACTTTAGATGATGACGATGTTGATCCATATC